TCAATTTTGATCAACCACTCTACAGTAATGTTATTGTGAATCTTCAAATTCTTACACCAACAGTGGTCTTAACAATGCCGGATCGAATTTGATGTCAGACTAGTAGGATCCATATTGCAATCCAATTTCATATATTAACTAAATTAATATTAAAAACAAAAGATTTGAAAAACATTGTGATTGAGCTGAATTATCGATTATGATTGGGATTTGGGTTCACACTTGAAGAGGACCTAAACCAGGATCATAATTGTATCTTGATTGGTTTGGGCTAGGGTCATAATTGGAACTTCTTGAGAAGAAATTCAAGCGTGAATTTGAAAGTTTAGCGTCTGCGAAAACTTCACATTTCTCGTGTTCTTCTGGGTTATACAAAATTTTGCAATAAAATTCAAAACTTAAGAAAAACAAAGACAAAAAAAAAATTTCCAAAAAACCGAATCAGCCGCACGGAAAGTCAACTTCAAACAAAAATGCAACAATCTTAAGACCAGTTAGTATTACCATTGGCCATTGCAAGAAGATTCCACATGACGACATCAAATAAGTAATTCTAAAACGAACCATGACAGCTAAGTTTCAATCGAGAGAGAGAGAGAGAACCAGAGTAACAAAAACAAAATTAAAGTTAAATTTCTACCAGATGCAACTTGAAATGGCAAGTAAATTTTTGCGAGATCCTAAAAAATAAATGAAGTATACGTTGACCCATGTGCATACACATGAGGAAAGAGCAAAGAAATCAGAGTATTACAAAAGAAACAACCAACAGATCTAGTTCTTCAAGGTATTTCACAAAAGTAACAGGAAAAAAGCCATTGCCAATCTATAACGTTTCAAGAGACTAGAAAATCTTTATCTCACTGTTCTACAACGTTTTACATACAGATGAAGATTAACCGCACGCAAAAGAGAACATCAAACAGGAATCTCATAGGAAATTAGAAGGTTATTTTACAGAGATTAGGATTACCATGAAACAGTTCCAAGGCCACTCAGTCCCGTCCTCCCTGGTAATCTTGGGCCTCGAAATGCCCCAATAGCTCGACACCACAACTTCGCCGCTCTCCTCGTTCTTCTTCTTCCCCGGCACCGCTGTACTACTCTCTTTCTCAACCTTCCTCGCCTCCGGCTCCGCCGCCGTGCTCATCGTCCTCCAACTCCAAGGGGCCCCACCGAGGAACCCCAAACCCTGGCCTCTCACCACCACGGCCTCATCAGAAGACGTCACAACGGCAACCGCCGACAACGGCGACGCCGCGGCCGACGATATGTAGCGACTATACTTACTGCCGGTGATCGCATGTCTAAACACAGACCTCACCATCAATTGATTCATTTTGTTTTCCGAGAAGAAAAGTTATGAAGTTGAAGTGGTTCCGCCCTCGNCTGGCCTCTCACCACCACGGCCTCATCAGAAGACGTCACAACGGCAACCGCCGACAACGGCGACGCCGCGGCCGACGATATGTAGCGACTATACTTACCGCCGGTGATCGCATGTCTAAACACAGACCTCACCATCAATTGATTCATTTTGTTTTCAGAGAAGAAAAGTTATGAAGTTGAAGTGGTTCCGCCCTTGTTTTACCGTTTATACATGAAGAGGCAAGGCAGAGTAGTGAAAGAGTGGCACCAACATTTGGTGTATCGCGATCTACCGTTTTAATTTGCTTCCCTTAATCAATTTAATTAAACTTGATAGGAAGATTTAATGGTAAATTATCTACTATTAATAAATGTAGATGATCAGATCATCCTAACTTCATAGGGCTACGTTATGACTTCTCATGATGGAGTCTAATGAACGTCATAAAGTGGTGGGTTGCGAAGCAGGAAAACGAAAAAAATCCGTGGCGGTGGGGTAGTTGCCCCGACTTTACCGGCGAAGTAAGATGACCGTAATATCCTCTACTAGTACGTGGACTTTTAAAATGTTGCCCTTTCTTTTTCTCCAAGCTTGCTGGAAATGTAACTGGCAGGTGGCTGGTCAGTAGGCTTTAAGCGTAGTGCCTTTTGTAGTTTCTACACGTGGCGCCACCGCGTATGGTGAAATTAACAACACAACAAGAACCATGGATTATAATGATTGAGCACTCAAATTAAATCTAAATAGTTTTTTTTTATAGGATAACAATGTGACTCAAAACAACTAAACCATAGCGAACCTTAAAGTGTTAATCTACTTGAGTTTTTCGGTTTGATATGTGCAAATTTAGTTGAACTATAATTGTTAGAGTTTGAGTCTGAGTCGAACTCTAACTTTTGTCGAGCTTTGATTTTTATGCAAACTCGCTCGACAAAGAGACTTGAATTGAATTTAAACTCAATTTTTTGTGAAAATAAATAAAAAATTTAGTTGTAGATCTTAAAAATCAATCCTAAAGCAATTATTTCCTCAACAAACAATCTCAAAAATATATATAATTATCTATAAACAAACTTTAGAAAGTCAAATATCTAGAAAATCTATTAGAGAATAAAGGGAAAGAGAATTGCATATGATTTAAAGTTATTTGAAGTAGGGTTGGAGTTGTTCATCTTTTTAATGTAGTTGTATAGTAGTACAATTAGAAATATTTATGAGTAGCATCATATTTGACCTTATCCAATGTTACTTGAGTTGAGCCACACATTGTTTATAGAACCAAGCCTGATTTGAACTTGACTTACTCAGATCATTGAACAGCCACAACAACTATGATCCATGATGGCTTGGCAATAAGGCCATGAGCAACTCTTTTTTTTTTTGGTTTTTTTGAAGTTGGTCCACACTAATGGACTTTTAAGACGAGAAGGAATGCGTTTTTTTTGGGACTTAAAAGGACAATTAAAAGTATAAAAATTAATTTATCTTCAATGAAATAAATAATTATATTACAAAATGGATAGTAACAACAAGACGATAATAGTAATAATAACAACAACACAATAATAATAACAACGATACGATAACAATCACTGTCACTGTTATATTAACAACAACGCCTGTGTGGGTGAGGAATAAGAGGCAATCTTTAGAAATGGAGATACTATAGAATGTAGCAGGACTGAAATATAGAGTGGTGGTGGATAGTAACAACAACATAATCATAGTAACAACCACAGTTATTATCAAAATTCTATAGAACTAAATAGTAAAGTGAATTAAATAGTCATACGATTACAGTAACAACCACAGTCACAATCAAAATTTTATTAAAATAAAATAGTAATATGAACTAAAAAGCCACACGATTGCAATAGCAATCACAATGACAATGACAAATACAGTAAATTTTGTTGTCACTGTCCAAATTTTAAGGTGCAAATTTGAAACAAATTTTGCCTAATACCAAATTTTTTTTTGTCCAATTTAGTCGACCATCATTATTAACGAATTTGATGTTTTAAATTTCTAATGCATTTCATCGCACACTATTTGGATATACCCGTAAACCCTTCTTTTTCATCAATCTCGTGTACAAGGTGTGGGGGCTTTTGAAAATCAGAAAGACCCTTGAATCTACCTAGTTTATGTAATGAGCCTATAAAAAATAAGCCAAAAAGCCCTCATCTCCGGTCCGATCAGGAGTATCAAAATTAACTTATATGCATATCAAGTAATTCTCTTTTTGATTCAATCAAAAATAAATCATTCATGTCTGAACTAAAAAATTCACGACAGATAAATCTCTTATAACCTAACTACAAGATAATTTTCAACTAACTGATGACATTCAAGGTGATTAGGGGACATCTCTGATCGTTCACCTCCAATGTGGCAAGTTCTCCCCTCCCCCCTCCCCACCCAACCCAATTATAAGTAGGAGAATTACCCTTAGATCTCTTGATGTTTAAAATATTACATATAAATCTCCTAAAATTTGTACATATGTAACACTTAGACCCCTGCTGTCAAATATTCGTTATTATATCTGGTAGTAAATTACACCCAAACCCCCTTGAAGTTTGTAAACCGTATAATATTTAGACTTTTCAAATTTAAAATGTTATACTAAGACCAAAAATATTTTAATCAAATACAGAATATCAAATATTTTAAATTTTAAAACTAAAATTCATGTTCTATTATATCATTTATTAAATTAAATTCAAAAATAAAAAGATAAGAGGTTTAAGTCATTCAGAATAGAACATAAATTTTACAACCAAAATTCATATCCTATTATGCCATTTATTGAAATAAAATCAAAAATAAAATTTTAATTTTTCTTAAAAATTCATAATTAATATACAATTATACTATCTATTGGAATAAAAAAAAACAAGGGGTCAAACAGTAATGGACACAATATATTCTAATTTTAATTGAGATAATTTTGTAGTTTAATTTGGTCGTTTAAACGACTAAATTAAATTCCAATAGATAGTACAACTGTATACTAATTGTGATTTTTTAAGAAAAAATAAAAAAAACATTATTTTTAATTTTATTTTTATAAATATCATAATAGAATATTAATTTGGATTGTAAAATTTAAAATATTTAATATTATATATTGATTGAAGTTTTTTAGTCTAAATATAACATTTTCAACTTTGGGGGTCTAAGTATTACACGCTTATAAACTTTAGGAGGCTTGGATGTAATTTATTAACAGATATTGACAACAGGGGTGTTAGTGTTAAACGCGTACAAATTTTAAGTGTCTGTGTATAAAATTTCAAATCGTAAGAAGATTTGAATGATTAAATAACAAATTTTAGGAAATTTGAATGCAATTCTCCCATTATATGATGAATGAGATCAGTTGGCTAGAGAGTGGGGACTATTCTTCTTCTGGGAAGGCAAAGTCACCCTTTATACTTAACAATTTTCATACTTTAAAAGTGTTGTATAACAACTTTCTTATTTTCTATTTATATAATCATTTTTTTTTTCGGTACATTGGAAAAATTAAAAAGAAGCTACCTAAATCCTCTAAAATAAGAGGTAATAGCAGAGTCATTGCTAAGAAAGTCTCCCAGGAGGTTAGGGTGAAAAATGAGGATCACCATCTGATCCTGATTCTGAATTCCCATTTTAGCAAACTTATTAGCACAAAAGTTCCCTTTTCTAGATGATACCCTTAGTTATTTATTTATTTTTTTTAGTGGGGTGCGCCAAGCCCATGCAATAGTGCAACGTAAGGGCAACGCTCAAGAATCCCAAGACCCTCCCCCGAGAAAAATTAATTTAATATCATATAAGACATTGTCTCACGTATTAAATATTAAAGTGATAAGAACAGATATTACACTTAATCTTAGCCAAAAGGCCGAGAAATGTATATATCCGTAATTATCATTTAACTATTTATCACTCATTTGACTAATGCACTTTCTATAATATCTAGCGACATTCATTATAAAACTGTTGAAATCAACATAGATGAATGGATTTATATAATGTCTTTTCTATTCTTAACGCACTTTTCAAATAAGACCACCAATTCCTACTTAATTAAAAAATTCAATACTAGATCAAAAAGTATCAGACACAATCATCAATTATTTCTTCCCTTTTCTCGCTCTCTATGTCTAAAATGTGTCCCACAAGTCATAATCATTTGATGTAGTAATTGATGTGATAAATTAATAGGGTGGGCTTAATTTAAGATATAGAAAAAATATTTAAAATATATATAAGTACTTTTAAGATGTTTTTTTTTAAAGGCGGGCATGTGCCCCTCGGCATAAGGTGGCTCCACCGTTGCGCCGGGTTGATGACATGATGTCAAGCTTATAGATGAGTCGATGCAACCCCTAAGCAGAAACAACAGTTTTATTGGAGAGTTATTCTCGAAACTTAATGTTAAGTTCTCAAATTAGGTATGAGTAACATTATTGTAAGGAAAATTGAGGTGGCGGCGGTGCATCATCAACTGATGGGAACGGTGAAGATGTGTAGTTAAGTGAATTTAAATAATGTTTGGTTAATTGAATCCTTTAATGCGTGTTCAAGGAATTATCTTGAGAGAAGAAGACACATGTACCCACAATATAAAAGGCCCGAATTTTCTCAACTTATTATGGTTGTCATGAATTTAATATGAAGTTGTATTTTTATATTTGAATTCTAGAATTAATTAGTAATGAATTAAATTATTTTTTACTCACTACTTGAAATTCAAGTTTGCGTATTTTTGTAATGAATTAGTTGTTCTTATTAAAATTTTCTAGAGTAAATTTAAAATTTGACTATTCGAAATTACACTTGTAATAAATTATTTCAATTGATTGGTTTTCTAGTATTAACATATTTGTGATGAATTAAATAATTTTAACATTATAATTTTAATTTAGCTATGAGTTTTAGTTTTCTCCTACTGTATAAAAATTCTTGCTCTGCCCCTA